GTTCGGGGATCGCGGCAGGGGGACCACAAAGGGGCGGTGGGGAGATTTTTTTCTGGGGAGCACCCCTTTAAACATCGGGCATCCCCCCCCCCCCCCCACGTCTCGTCCCTCGCCTCCCCAAAAACAAAACTTCTACCAAACCATTCTGCAGTGGTAAACCAAACGAGGGGGTTCTGAAAAAAGCACCCGGATCAAACTGATTCGATGTAAGCCCAGTGATCAAACCGACTCACTAACAACTCAGTGTCCAGCAGGTTTCTTCCCCCACTTGCTGTGCAGTAAAGACTGTAAACCATCCCTTCGACTGGGGTAGCATCTCGGGCAGTTTCTCAGTATCATCCATTCTCTCTCTCTCTCTCATATACAGCTCTCTTACTCTCTCTCTCTCTCGTTCCCGCCTAGCCCGCCTACTTACCCGGGACATTGTGAGGCACACGGGAACGTTCGTCGCGCCCTTGATGGCGACGGCGTCGTCGATCTCCGATGATATCTCGAAGTCGTCGTAGATCCCGCCCTCCCCGACAAGAGGCGTGACCTGTTTCGCAATAACCGACACCAAAAACCTTTTAACAACATAATCCAACAGGAAGGAACGGCCTACATACGGGGCACCAAAACACGCCAAGGCGTGCTCAGCTACGACGGTGAGCGTGTGTGTGCCATCCCAATTTATCTGGGTGGTCGTGTTTTATTTGGTCTGTTTGGTACCATACTTGTTCGGACCCACCAACCGGGGTTGCAACGCTGTTTCGAAAAGCACGTTCGCCAACATCAGCGCGCAGCGCGTTCGTGCGCGGTGCCTACGGAATCGCCGTTCTCCATTCCCGCTGCTATCAAGCTCCCTTTGCTTATGGCCACGAGAAAAGCGGCGTCTTCGAAGAATCTTGAAGCAAAACACACAAAGAAAAACACGACACAGACGTACAGCCAATCAAAGCCACCGAGAACGAAACACACTTCCACTACCTTGGGTATTCGTGCGGTGTTGAGCGCGGTGTACGCGGCAAACGACGACGCGTCTAGCAAGTTTCCGTCAGCCTGGAGGCATGCGGGGGGGGGTTCAGCAGGAGAGAGAGGCGGTGGGGGGGGGGGTTGCTTGCCATGAGTCATTCGGCCACCGACCGAGCATCCCTTTCAGGACACGACAAGCGACAAGCACGTCCAAGTTGTTGGGCATAGCGAGAAAGATGCCCACGGGTGCGGCCGATTTCGATTCCTGTGTCTGAAAGCGGAACGAACGAACAACAACGACAAACTACCGTGTTCGACCTGCCTACCTGGTCCTGCAGAGTTGTTTGTCGTAAGCGGTGATGAACAACATATGCATGTCTCGACGCGGAATTAGGGCGAGAGGCGAAAAATCCTTTTTTCCGCCCGTCGTCGATACACCTACGCGGTCTTCTAGCCCCGTCATGTCATGTGCGGTGACAAACAAGGTATGCATACCTCGAACGCGGAACGAGGGCGGGAGAAGCAATAAACCGTACATTCGCCTTCCCCCCTCCCCGTTGAAACTGTTACAGCCCCCTTTATATACCTGCAGTACCAGGATGTCGACGAAGACCACCCAGCAGAACTTGCCGTCCACGATCCCGAGGGCATCGAGGTCGAGCCCTGTGCTCGGAGGCGCGTGTGTCGTCATCGTTGTCGTCGTTGTCGTTGTTGGTATTAGTTCCGCACAACGATTAATCGGTCGCGGGTTATCGAGGAGGCGAGAAGAGAAGGGAAGGGCCACGAGACGCCGAGCAAAAGCAAGCGCGAGGTTATTGGCGGCACGCAAGCCAGTCCGCACAACCTGGCGGTGTTGCACCGCCGTACTCCGCCGGCCTCTCCTTCTGTATGCGTGCATTGCCGTAACGAGTATCAATCGCGCTAACCGGCTGACCAATGAAACGACGCCGGTGTCAAGCGGGCAAAATCAAGGTACCCAGAAGGGGACCAACATTCTGAGAACGGGCGTCGCCCAGAAGGCCAAAAATAACCTCTCGTAACAATCCTTGGAGAGAACAATACGACACAGCTCCAAGTAAGCCTTCGCCCGAACCTAGGAAGTTACTGATGCAAAGAATGGGAGACAGAAATAAAGAGGTATTTTCGAAACCCTTCCGTAGCCAGGATATCGCAAAATGCCGTGTATCCCACATCGAATATCGCGCACTCCCAAGATCTAGCAGTGATTGTGTGCCGACAGCCAGGGTTAAACCACACAGCACTACAAAGACATCATAGATCCACGCCAGCCTCTGTCTCTGTCTCTGTCTCTGTCTCTCTTTTTCTCTCTTTCGCTCCGGTACGTCTCTCTCTCTCTTTGTTACCTGCCTTTTGTCACACTACCTTCCACTTTTCCTTTGCGCCTTTTCCCCTTCCCTCCCCCCTCTCCGCCCCACCCCCTCACCGCCGACTCCCTGCATGCTTCTCTCGAGTGCCCCGCTCAACACCGCGTTCACGTCCCCCGATGACCGTTCGTCGAACTTGGGGAAGAGGCTGTTCGAGCACGAGACGCACACCTCCACGCGGCCCGCGCCAGGAGCTTCAAGGCCCGGTTCTCCCACCTCCACCTTGATGTTTTCATTAGGTTCTTCATGGTTAACGATGTCATACGTACATCTTTTCCCGTAATTGTCCCCAGGGGAAGAGCTAAACGATCGTTTCTGCTCGAGAGAACCACCCGACGGATAAGAAGCGTGGCAGGCATTTGCCATTCTTGCTCGAGCGCGATCGTACAGGTGCACGGTCTACACTGCCGCTGTCCACGGGTGTGTGATCACGTGGTACGCATGGTTGTTTTTTCTCTGGCGTGCGTTTAGACCGGCGAGGCTGCAGTTGCGTTGGTTTCTCCCCTCATGCTACCCCTCTCCTCTCCTAATGATGTTTGCTCCCCTCACGCTACAATCCCTCTCCTCCTAGTGATGTTTGCTTCCCTCGTGCCATCCCTCTACTCCTAACTGCTATCTACTACGACAGGCAACGGCGTCATTCACCTTGACCGCAGCGAGGACGTCCGTGCCGTTGTGAGCTATGGTTACCCTCGCAGAACCGTTGGACTGGTGGGGGCGTTGTAGCCACGGTGCGACAGGACGGGGCACCCGGCCAACAGAGAACGGGGGAAAACAAAACAGAGGTCAGCGCATCTAAAAACACGTGTGCTCGATCTTAACCTCGACGTGTCGCTTGTACACGACATGATGCAATCGGCGTCGTCGCTGCGTTCGGCGGTACATTCGCATGCCAGCGAGCTGCGGGCGGCAATCAGCAGATCTTTGAAGCAAAGGGCGCTCAGGAACGCCGCCGTATCTACGTATTCTATCTACCAACACGTTGCGGTTTAGAGGTGAATTTTCTTCCATGCTGCGCACAGCATCGCTGAGGAAGTTGCCGTCGAGTGAACGGCACGATTCATGCCTGCTGCTGTTGTATAGAAGCACCATATGGTCGACTAGACTTAGCTGTACCACGGGTAACATGCATCGAATCTTATCAGCAGGGTTTTCGAGGTGTAGGAGACAACACAGCAGTCAGATAAGTAGCAGTCACAATAGCCGGGCGAGTACACCACGAGCAGCGCTTGTGCCAAAGCGCAACGCATACACACCCGTTACCGGCACAAGCAACGCATACACGCCCGTTACCGGCTGGAGACTCTTTGCTTACCTGTGCGAGGACGCCGGCCTGGACGGAGAGGGAGCGGTAGTCAAGCCTGCCGCGGCCATCCCCCCGCATCCCCAGCTCGACGCCAAGCGCGACGTACTCTCTCTCCGAGCTGGAGGTGTTCAGCCCTGTAAGAGTCGATCTCGACATTGCGGACAACACCCAGCCTTTCTCGCTGTACCAATCCTTCCCTGTCGGCAACGCTACTGTGTCTGGGTGTGTGAGGGCCGCGGACCGAGCTTCGCCGGGTGCCCGAAGGGAACCACACCCCAACGGGACTGTCATTTTTGTCCCCGCACAACACGCCTCCGCGTTCTCACCGAGCCACAGAGGAGAGGAGAGGAGAGGGCCACGTGCAGCAGTGTGTGCGGGTGGGAACTACACCGCTGGAACGGTGGCCGAGGTGTCATGGATGGAGAGCCAGGCACCCCGTGTCGAAATCAGGCGCTCGAGCTCCATGTCCGATGCGTGCCTGGCGAAGACAAAGTGCAGCTATATCTCGCTCTTCGGGACGGGAACACGTTATCCTTCAACAGGTACTAACTATTAGTCTGCTGTTGGCTGACTTCCTGTACATGTAGGCCGGTCGCTGTGTCGCAGTTCGCAGTATCTTCTGGTGTTGTGGAGAGCTGCGGGAGAAGCAGAGTGCCAAGCACCTGAATGTTATCAACGGGTCTTGGGGGCTGAGCCAGCAGCATCGAACCCACCTCGTAGATTTCCACACCTTTGGGGATCAAGCGTGCCACTTGTTCCCTTTTCTCGAGACTCTATACCCGCATAATGGAGGGTACTGCGGGCCTGTACACTTGTACATGTACCACTTCACGTTAACTTTGGGCCACACACCATATTTCCCCTCTCTCACGGAATTGGTAAGACTATATTATGTCACCCGAGCAGCCTACAGCGGCAGGAGAAGCGTGTCTGTAATTTGTATGTGGCGAGCGTGTTGGCTGAAGTTGCACCAACGGACCAACGGCCGGCACAAAACTTGAGCGTATACAGGTTGCCTCTGGTCACGGACTGGCTGTCTGGCTGTACCAGCAACACATTGGTAGCCTCTGCACCAAATCATGCACGATGAACTTCTATGGGACTGGTGCAGTTTTCCACGTTGCAGCTTCTCTCTCGCGCGCTCTCGCTTGGAAACATTGAGACTTTTGTCAATGCGCGAGAGTTAGTGCGGACCACGCGAACCGCGCGAACCGTTCCGCAGAACACAGCGGACCGCAAAGGTATCATATGTACACCTACCGCGGTGTTCTAGGTGCTAAATTAGCCAAGTTAACGTCGACAAAAAACCCAAACACCTGAAATAGGAACTGTTTCAAGCGTACGCAGGCTGTAGAGGTGTGTTCTGCTCTTGCCCAGCAACTAATCATGTCCAGAAAGCAATCTGTGTGCCAAGGTGGGCTACATATGCTGGAAACACTCCGAGCGAAAAGTATATCTGCAAATGGGGGCACAGACGACTATGGGCGTGAAGACGAGCGAACGATACCCCGTGTAATCGTGTGCCTGACTCCGACGCACCGCAGCCGGTGGAGCCCTCGGCCATGCCTGTTGCATGCTTTCCGATGCCCTCGGCCATGCTGTGTGGTATCGTTAGAACGCGTGTCACAGGTGGAACAAAGTGAAGCGTTTTTGTCGTGCCGGTGCCTGCGCTATGCTAGTATTGCCAGTGACGTGATTGGCTGGCCCATAACTTCCCTAATGACGGACCGTGACTACTTACTGGCCTTGCATTGGGGAAACCTCATAGCAACCATGAACAGTAGTTTATCCCGCCGTCAATAGAGAGTTCCCCAACACCTCAATCCTGCGCCTCCCGAAATCATGAGCGCAGGCTGCAGATCGCTCTGCAGCGAAAACAAAACTGCTACACAGTTAAACCAAAACGGGCGGAATGAATTGCCACCTTCAGCCCTCCCGTAAAAGATTGTTTTTTTCTCATTTTGACCTTCGTGTGCAGTCCTCCTCCACAAAAAGATACACAACAACACCGCAAAGAGTCATGCATGAATTCTGTCATTCTGTCTAGGCCGAGCGACAGCGACATGGCCAGCACCCTGCGGCGGCTGTCGCTGACGGTCCAGAAGCGCCGCCGACTCACGGACAAGAAGAAGAAGGGGGCCAACGGGGGCAAGGCAAAAGGTAGCGGAAAGAAAGGCCCTCAGAGCGGGAAGGGCGGCGTCGGCAACGGCGAGGAATTGACGGCCGCTCTGTTCGACAAGGGAACCGGAGAGTCCATCGAGGTGCGGTGTGTGCCGCGGGCGTGTTTGGGTTGTTGATGCGGACACATCCGAAGTACAGAACCGCAACATTTGAGAGGAATCCTATCAAAAGGTGGTAAGGGCGTGTTTGGGTGTTGTTGTGGACACATCCGAAGTGCAGAACCAAACTTTCGAGAGCAGACTTATCTGGAAAACGTTTATCTTCGGGGCTGTAGCCGACTAATGATGTTCTCCGATTGTGACCCTCGAGAGCAGGTTGTTTCGGAGGCGGTTTCTATGTTGCGCCGTTCTGCTCTGGCGTATTATACGGTAGGAATCGCTCTCTCTCTGTCTGGCTGTACCTCTCTTTCTCTCTCTCCCTCTCGCCCTCTCGTTGGTGTAGGTTTGTGTCCGAAGTTAATCGCACCGGAACTAAACGGCGTCGAAATCGACGGCACGTCGTCGGCTACCACCGACAGTAGACTTATCACACACGCGATGGCCACCTCACGTCGACCCTTGCTGGTGCCTTGGGCATTTGTTGTCGCTGCTGCTGCTTCCAGGTGGACGGTGCGCTCAACGGGGACGGGTGGGTCCGCCTGTGCGGAAACGGCGAGAGCAACCACGCTCCCCCCGGCGAAACCGCCGGGAACACGGGAGATTTCGGCGCTAGGGCAGCGGCTCCGCAGGGCGGTGATTTTGGCAGCGGCAACGGTAGCATCAGCAGCAAGAGAAAGGGTTTGGTGGTTGTCAGAATCGGCCCCACGACACCTGCAACTGCAACTGCTGCTGCTGCTGCTGCTGATGCTGATGCTGATGCTGCCACCGAACCCTCTCCTTCCGCCGGCGCCGCTGACACCGCTAGCGCCGATGATGGAGGCATGAAAATCCCGGGCGTCGCCGCCGCGGGGGAAGACGCGGGTTTCCTAGAGATGGACGTTGTCGTCAACCCTCCCGCGGTCACCTCGCTGGAGTGCTCCATCGCCCAACCCATGGCCGGTTTCTCGGTCGTAGCCCAGGCGGAGGCGGAGTTCGGCACGAGGATGGGGTGGGAGTGGCTTATAGAAGAACAGCCGGTGGCCGGTGGTGGTGGTGGTGGTGGTGCTGCTGCTGCTGCTGACGTCCTCTCGCGGCGAGGAGGTAGGGCGGGGAGCGATAGCGAGAGTGGGACGAAGGGGGGTCAACCGTTCACCTGGTGGTCGAGGTTGGAAGGGGTGGCGGTGGGAGTCAGGGGGGGCCGTTGTGTACTGCAAGAAGATGGTATTGCTTTGTGGCAGCGGGGGCCGGGCAGGGGGAGAGGGGAAGAGAAAAAAATGTGTGTGTGTGTGTGTGTGTGTGTGAAGGCGTGGCGGTGAACGCTGCACACTACGAACACCGCGAAGACAGAGTGGGTGGCCCTTTGCCGCTACATACTAGTGTTGTCCTTTTAGCCACGCCCCCAAAACTTGAGTAGATGGATGGGATAGGGAAAACGTTTTTGAGCCACCTTTGCCAACCTAGGCAGGAACGATTGACCGTCAATGATTGGCCGTGCGGGACTAATGCTCCTCGTCCTCCGAGGACGCGTGTTCAATGGTTCAACAGCTAAGGCATGCATAACATGACTACTGTATGCTCTCCCCCCCCCCGCGATGTGAGCAGCGGTCTGTTCTGATCCCCCCTTCCCCCCTGCCCGTGGGTTGTTGTCCATACCGGGTGTACGCGATCCGATCGTGCATTTTGCTTAACTGCCTGGTGCAGGGTTTACACGCGTAGTGGGGAGGATGCGCGCGTACACCCCGGTGGATGCGGACGTGGGCCTGCGGCTGATGGTCAGGTGCGACCCCGTGCTCTCGCACGATACTATGCATGGGATGCACGCGATATGCCTCGCGAGCGGGCCTCGTGTATGTAGCCAGTGGCATTTCGTCATTCTCGTATCGAGAAGAAAACGATGAAGGCTGCCAAGCCCTTGTATGCAAGCGTGATGGGATGATAGCCTTCTGAGTTACAGCGACCGACCAACTATACCGATTTTTTGCAAAAGGCGCGGAGACCTCGTGGCTGTGGACATCGCTGACCGCTGCTGCTGCTGCTGCTGCTGCTACTGCTGCGACGCTGGCGACGCACTCGAGTGCACAGCAACGCACCCACTCAACACACTCAACCACCGCTGCAATTCACAGGTGCACCCCGATGGGATTGGAGGGACGCAGGGGGAGGCCGGTGGTTCGCGTGCTCACGTCTCCAGTTCGACCCGGTCGCGTCCCCGGACCCCTAGCCCTGCGGAGGCATTGGCTGGAGGAGAGGGGGGGGGGAGTCTACGGGGGAGGGGGAGAGGGGTCAACGGAGACTGAAGGACTTGCCGATGATGGCACGGAAGGAGGGGTGCGGGAGGGCGGGGGTCGAGCTTTGCCGGGAGGGGCGGCGGCTGTGGGCGGGACAATAAGGCGTCGTTGTCGTCTTCGAGTCATGTGCTACAACATTCTCGCCGATATGTGAGAGTGATGGGCGGGTAGCTACATGAGGGCGGGTGTACGATTCTGTGAAGGGAAATCTGTTGCTCTCCTTGCAGAGAGACCGAGGGGGGGCGGGTGGGGGGTACGACGTTTCTCAAGCTCGAGGCGACCAGCTCTGACGTTTTCCGAGTTCGAACAAGCCGCGTCGGCTGTTGTCATTTTGGGATCGGAGAGACCAGCGAACCACACCGAAGCAAGAAAAGCTTTTGCAATATCTGTACATAGACGTTAAGAACGTTGTTCTTCTATTACATGCAATATACGCGGCACAAGTGCTATGAGCGCTGATTTAAAGTAAAGGAAAAAAAAAAAAACGTGCAAACGACAACACGGAAGGTATTGCACGTCGGAGCAAGCGGACAAGGTGCTGTACCCGTACTGCCCCAAGGAGTATCGCGCCATGGACTACCGGATGCAGATGGTGGCCAGGGAGGTCCGAGGGCACGCGGCCGACCTCATCATGCTGCAGGTGTTGTTGCATCATACAGCTGCTGCCGCTGCTGCTGTTGTTGTCGTTGTTGCCGTTGATGTTGTCGTTGTTGCTGTTGCCGCTGGTTGCTTTGTCCGCCTCTCTTCTTCACAGTACCTCGTTTGATTCCCTGAAAATCGTTCTTCTTTTTTTCTTTTTTCCGAGACCTGCCCAGCTCTCTCTCTCTTCTCTCTTTCTCTTTGTCTGTCTGTCTCGAGGGCGGTGGTTTGATGATTTCGAGCCTCTCTCTCTTTCTCTCTCTCTCTCTCTCTCTCTCTCTCTCTCTCTCTCTCTCTCTCTCTCTCTAGTAGAGAGAGAGAGAGAGAGAGAGAGAGAGGGCGATATCATTGTTTGGTGATTTTGAGCCATGGACGTTTCTTTTCGAAACTGCTGTGTTCCCCCCCCCGAAACGATCGCCCTCCCTGTTCGGCGGTAGGAGCGCAACAGGTCTTTCGACTTGCGAGGGACCTTGCCCTATGGAACTCAGCTCTCGAGGGTGTACCGACAACAACATTTATAAAATGCATACGTCATGTACAACAATAACAGCAGCAGCTCTAAAATGTCCTATGTTCGTTGAGCAGGCGCATCTCACTCTGAATCGCTTCGATTTTCTGCGTTCATTTTCCTTCCAATTTGTTTTGGGGGGGGGGCAGGAATGCGAAGCCAAGGCGTTCGACAGGTTTTTGTCCCCGGGCCTGGCGTTAGACGGTTTCGAAGGGATCTACGCGAACAAGGCGGGCCAGGCCCAGGTTTGTCTCGCAGCGGTCCCGATAGCGCCACGGTGGCTGAGTTGTTCGCTTGCGATGGTGGGTGGCGGTGTGTGTTATGTGTTGTTTTAACCCTATTCGCATGAACCGCGCCAGCCGGCTGACCAATGAAAAGGCGTCAGTCTCAGTGCGGTTGAAAACGCACAACATTGCTAAAGACCATGATCTGGGACCCCAAGAGGCGGTGTCATAGGGGAGTATGTGTGTGTGTCCGTGGCCTTGCCGTCTCCCGGTCGTTTTGTTAATCTGTCCCCGGGGGTTGTTTGGCGGTTTCAAAGGGTCCCAACAGGGTTGAGTGTCGATCGTGCCAATCCCGGTAGGTGATAAACGCCTTTGGGGGGGTGCGAACCCCCAAGTTCGTGCGCTGTGCAGCGTGTTGTTATAGCGAGCCCCCTCCGTACCTGTCATGCTTGAGACATACAATGCGGGGAAACTCGTTGCTCTTTTTTTTTCATGCGATAGGGATGCGTGCGGTACGTTTGTGCAATCAATATGCTAGCGGGCATGAGCGTTAGTGGACCAATCCTGCCTCGTGCTGCTGTACGTACAGAGATGCCGTCGGTCTTCTCTACGGTGATAAAAAATGGCCTTGGAAAAATGCGCTGCATCTACCGCCATGCCCGCATACGTTTTCACGACCCTCTTTCAGCCTCGACCCCCTCTCTTGACTAGGGCATGCCCACCTTATGGCACGACACAAGATGACACCCCCCCACATACACAATACCACACCCAGTGGTGGATACTATTTTTTCAGACCAACATGAGCCCACAAAGTATTGCTACCTCTCAATATTCCAGCAATTAGGGCAACAACAACACTCGGTGATGTTCCTATTTTTTGAAGCCCGAAGATTATTATCGGGGTGGGCAATTCTTGCATCGTACATGCGCGGTAACCGCTGATCGGAGTGCACGCACGACCCCCCCTCCAGGAAGGGGAGGCCGTCTTCTACCGAAGCTCCGTCCTCGCGCTGGAGTCGAGGCACGACTTCTCTATGAAGGATGCCATCCCGGCCCAGGAAGAGTTCCGAGGGCTCCTGGAGGCATTCCCGACTCTCTCGGCCATCGTCGAGGACCGGCTGACCACGGTGGCGCAGGTGGCGGTGTTCCGTCCGGCTTCGGGTTGCGACGGCGGGGGCATGGCGGAGGCCGGAGCATCTGGGGGGGCGGGAGAGGAGGGGTCGCGAGTAAGGTGGGTCCTGAGTTAGAGTCTCGATGGGTCTACTTGTATGAATCTTTACAGGGGGGGGCGACGTGCGTGAGTACACAGGTGCACGTTGACATGTGTGTGTGTGTGCGTACCTCCGGACATCCAGAGAGAGTTATTTGCGCGCTACCTGCCGGGGGGAAGGGCTTCGCAGCGCGCAACGAACGAACGAAACGTTTTTTTTCCACAAAAGCGTTCGCCTAGAATTCCGGGCGTGATCCCTCTCCGGGGAGGGGGGGGGGGGGAGGGGCGGTGTGCCGTATATAGAGGACGCGCGAATGCTGCATACATTGAATTAGGAGAAGATTATGTTGTTCAATAAGACCAGGCATTACTCGAGTGCTTGCTTGAAGTTGATGGGTTGTGCACGCGATCGTGTGCTTGGCTCCTGCCGCCTGCACACGGCCGCGTAAAATGGGCGCTCGTTCCCATCGCACCGCCCCTCGCTCCTCCTCCTTCGTGCTCCCTCCGCCTCCGCTTCCGTCTTTGCCGCCGGGGTGTTGCATCGTTCGTTTGTGTTTGCCCGCTCGTCCTCGCTGGATCGCCCCTACTTATTTTGTATTTCTACTGCTACCGCTGATGATGCTGATGCTGATGATGATGATGATGATAATGACGATGCTGATGCTGATTGCTAATGCTGCTGCCTGCCGTCTTGCTGTGTTGACCAGGCTTATCGTGGCCAACACGCACCTCTACTTCCACCCCAACGCAGCGCACATCCGGCTCATGCAGCTCGTCACCCTTGTCGAGAGGTACTGACCAAGCGTGCAGAGTTCCTATCACCTTCTACCACCATCACCTGGTTGTTCTGCTGTGTGGTGTACGTTTACAGGGAATTTATGCCCTCCCACCACCCCCCTTTTTATTGCGGATTGCCCGCTGTGCTCCCAGGTAGTTCACTGCTGCTGTGTCTTGTCACACGTTGTGCGGTGGTCCCCGCCCCCCTGTGCGGACGCTCTCCCTCCCTCTCAGAATATCGCGCGTGCGAAAGGATCTGCTCGCGCGTGGTCTGAGGCCCGCGGTGATCCTAGGCGGGGACCTCAACAGCCCGCCCGACGGCCCGGTACGGTACCTGATGGGGGATCTCATCGGGCCGGACAGTGACCTGTGGGAGAACATGGGCACCTTCAAGTGGTGAGTTTCGGCTGAAGGTGGTGGTGGTTTTATGTACGGTACTGGCAGGCTGTGACGACAACTGGTGAGAGTTCGGCTGGGATGTGGTTGGGTATGGTAGTTGTGGGCTGGGACGAAATGTTGTGAGTTTCGGCTGAGGATTGTGGTGTTGTGATGTACGGTAGGGTAGGGGTATATAGGCTGTGACGCTAACTAGGCGGCAGCAGCAAGAAACGGTGACAACCACATAATGAGGACGGCAGCGTTGCCTGTTGCATGCAGAACAGACTAAATGCGTAACCTGGCGACCATGCCAGGGTGTCTTTCAAGGAGAGCGCTTCCGAATTCGTGGCATCATGGCAAACTTGTGCTTGTCGGGGTTGTGGTGTGTGTACAGTTGGCTGGCTCTATCACGAAGACGGTTTCGCTTGCTGGCACTGTTTCTTGTTTCATTGCCGGAACTGCTTCGATTTTTTTGGTTGTTGGACTGCAAGCAAGTGTAGGCTGTCATGTTTTTCTTCGCCCCCCTCTCCCTCCACGCGACTCGCCGAATACCTCACGGCTCTTCGCGCTTGGTGATGTGAGAGCCTGGTCCGGTGAGAACCGGGCGTGCGCCGTCCCGGCTTTGTAGGGATGCGAGGTCAATGGTCTAATGACTACGGCATGCACGAATATGAGTACACCCCCCCCTCTCCCCCGCCCTTGTGGGAACAATGCTCCGTCCTCTCGAGGACGCGTTGTCAATGGTCTAACAGCTGAGGCATGCAAAACATTAGAGTACGCCCCGCCCCCCGGCCTCTCCCCCCTTGCCCCTGTTGCCACGCATATGTCATGGAGTTCCAAACGATAACAGTTCGTACCGAATTGTTCGTGCGCCAAAGTTGCAGCTGCCTGCTTGTCACCCATGTCCATCGGCAGCTGAGTGCTCCAATCAAGCATGTCAGCAGGCTTTGCCGAGCCGTAGTGTGCCTCGAGGCTTGTACGTTGTGCCTAAACGAACGTGTTCTACATACATGCAACACCGCCGGCACCTCCTCCGAACTCAAGATAGACTTGTATGTATGCGTTGTGTGGAAGCTGCAAACCCAGGAAGGGGTCCAGCAAAGATGGGACGGCTATGAAAACACACGTCAGCAGCCTATACGTCCTACTATTTGTATCCGTGTTTCGGTTTTTGTTGGACAAGGTTAGCTCTTCAGCACACGCCGAGAACGGCCCTGATTCTCTCGATACAAGTGCGGTGTGTTAACACGCACTCCAAACCAAGATCGATCGTGCAACGTTCCCTGCGAAGCACAAATTCCCTAGAAACCTCGCACCGGCTTCCAATTTGTTCTTTCTCTGCGCCCTTCTTTTCGGGCGTTTTGCTGCGTGCTGTTCTCTGGTTGTTATATTTTCTTTTTTGGGTGAGAAGCGTTGTTTTTCTTCGTCGAAAAAATACTGAATTGCACCACCGAAACAAACGAACGCGCAGGGGCGACCGTTTCTTCGACGAGCTCCCCACCACTTCCGGAGCCGCGGCAACAGCAGCAGCACCACCACCCCCACCGCCAACATCGAGAATACCCGACGAGAAAGCTTCGACGGCATCTCCCAGACCGAACAACGCCACCAACAACAACGACAACGAAACCGCCCGTGCCTCGCACCCCAGTGTCGCTGGCTCCAAGGCGAAACCATCGCCGTTTCTTCCGAACGTCCCCTACCTGAGAACGCCTTTCGACCTTCAGCTCGCCTCGGGCACCCCGGCCTTCACCAACTTCACCCCCGACTTCACCGACACTCTGGACTACGTTTTCATCGAGGGGGCGGGGGCGGACAGCGGCACGCCGACCACAGCAGCGGAGGCGGTTCTTGCGGTGGAGGGGGCAGGGGGCACCGGCGGTGGTGGGGAGGGGGGGGGAGGGGGAGCGGCGGCGGCGGCTGTTGCGCCGATGCCCGAGGAGGGGCCGCTGAGGGCGACGACTCCCGGATTGCCGTCGGAGACTTTTCCGTCCGATCACGTCTCGCTTGTGGTCGACCTTGCGCTGTCGGCGTGAGGCGGGGGGCGCAGGGAGATGGGGCGGGAGAACGAGAATTAGAGACGGAGAGAGAGATGATGGGAGGCAGAGAAACGGAGAGAGAGACATGGAGAGAGGGGCAGAGAGACAGAAGGACAGAGACAGAAAGAGAGATGTAGAGCGAGGGAGAATGGGAGACAGGGAAAAGGAGAGAGAGACACACACAGAGAAGAGGGGCGGAGAGAGAGAAGGACAGAGACAGAGAGAGGGAGAGAGACAAGCGTCGTTTTGACATTTGACGCTTCCCCGGAATTGGCTAATCTCTCGACCATCGTTCCTCTAACCCGTCCTGCTAAGGTTATTGCAGAGAGTGGATTGGACGCTCCTCCTCGTCAGAAATTGTTGCTCTTTTTTCTCGTGCTCCGTGCTTCGTTTTGTTTCGCATTGCAAGCATGTTTCTGAAACCGTTGTGGGGAAAACGCTCCATTAGCTGACAGCTGGGCCGACTCGATATTGGCTCGGAGGCAAGCTTGCTGAACCTAAAAGTTCGATCCACGTCATCGAGAAAAACTTTATTTTCCGTTCACGAGATGAATGTCTTCCAGAGAAAGCCTGTCTTCGTTTTGGGTGGTAATTTGTTTTATGCACCCTTTTTCAGCCGACCCCCCACTTCGACTCGATTCAAATGTGGGACGGGTAACGGACGCGGAATATGACCTGGAAAAGATATTTGTTTTCCCGGTAGGGGTGGGCGGGAGCACTCGACACGTTAAGTGTTTGGTGTGACGGCTTGGTGTGAATCCAGAATTAAGCTTGCGAGAACACGGAATCAACTTGTTGATCGCGCTGTTCTGTAAACAAAAAACAAAAAGTCGTTTTCCCTCTTTGGATTGCTGCCGCCGTGAGGTCCCTCGGCCGCACCGCGGAGAAACGGAATGGAACGGACCTGTCCCACGGTACGTAGGCCAGAAGTTCGTGAAGTACATGGTGCGCCCATCAGCGATCGGACGGAAAGTAAAGAACATTCGTTCTCACCGTCGCGGCATACAGGGGTGCGAGAGACACGGCAACTAATACCGTAGTTTGCCGTGATACGTGTATCATAGGTGCAACAAACAGCTACGCGACTGTTCGCACCTCCACTATATACTAATAGTTTGTGGGCGACCGGCCCTCTCTGCGACGTATCCCCCCCCCCCCCCCCCCCCCCCGGGGCACCGCTTCGGCCCGCTC